GCCGGGGCCGGCCGGCTCGCGTGGCCCACTGGCCCGAGCGTGCCGCGTCAAGTCGCCTGACAGCGACCCATTCACGCCTGGTGCTGCTGTCCTGGGGGCATCGCTGGCGGCGGCGGCAGGTTCACGTCACAGACGGCGACCTTTACGACGCACGAGGAATGACTGCCTCGCCACCCAGATACTATTGCTATGCCAACCAGGCGACCGCCACCTTACCAACGGAGCACTGGCGGTCACGTCAACTAAAAATGCAACGCGTTGTGCGGGAAGAGAAGTAATGATCCCGCGTTGAGAAAGGACAGCCACTGTTTGTAGTTTGACAGTTTGACAGTGCGAATCGCGCGTGGGAACACCTTACAGTGAATGAAGAGTGGTTCCCACACCACCAACAAATGGAATAATTGGTGGCCGGCACTTACAGTGCGTCGCTAGAGGATGACCCCAGAGGGGTGGTCTGAACTACCTGAGCGGCGCCCGCTTGGCGACGCGGGGCCGGTAGGACGTCGTCACTGAACGATACGTGCGAGCTGGGAGCTCAAGATCGACGCAGCTGGGTGCAGACTGTCGTGCTCCTCCAATTCGCCTGTCTGTTTTATGTTGGGGGCTAATGAGGTGGCTTAGCCAGACTATGGTCCCCAAAACGAAGGTAAACAACCAAGACCTCGAGAGCTGCTTAGTTGCATCGAACTTAACCTTCGCCCCGATGAGGGAGGGATCGATGCTCCACCACACACCACCCCCTCTCCCTAAGGACTTGTTATGTCCACCAGACACTCACTCCCTCGCATTTTTTAAGGTGTGTCATACATAAACCGCTTTCACGAAGGATTTTCAGCGCCTTTTTTCTAAATCACACTTTTTATCACAAGTTTTTGGCCAGCTTTTTAAAATCGCGGTCAGCTGGCTATAAGCAAAGTCATGTTTTTTTTGGAAAGGTATGATGCCAGATCTCTTCTCGCCAAAACTTTTTAAAACATATCGTTCGGTTGCATCCTGGACGCAGACGCGGCAAAACAAACGCCTTTATCTTGGCAGCGTTCCTGTTCGTAAGTATCCAGT